TAAGAACCTAGTCATGTTTCTGGTTCAGATGCAGGAGGCACAGTTGTCCGAAGCATAATGTACAACGAGCAACTGCTCATTAGTGTTCTTTAGGGTACCATGTTTGTCTTCAGAAGAAGAGAGATACTGTGAGATTACATTAAACTAAGGAAACAAACTTATGAAATGCACAGGAACTCTTAATTAAAGTATTTAAAAAGATCTTCTCTGAGTATTGCAGGAAGGTTCAGAATTGAGGTTTACTGCATAGATTTCATAGGGGTTGCAAGCTGATCACTTCTGCCGAAAACCAAACCCAGGCTCTTGTGTCTGTGCACCCTCTGGGCTGGATCTGGCTCTCACCTACTGAGTCAGTGTGTGAGCAGAGCAAGTGTCTGTCTGTCTGTGCCCCTCAGTGTACATGTGCTTGTGCTCTGGGCAGGCACATCAGACATGTGGCCCTTTGATTCCAGGATCTTTCACTTGAGACCACGGAGAGGCTGACACTAGAGGAAGCTCCAGCAGTGTATTTCAGGATGTATCAGGTTAAGCAGCAGAGATAAGGACTGGACAGACCTAATTTAAAACAAACAAACAAACAAAAAAGAAATACACACTCCTCAACAAAAAAAACCCCAAGAAAACAACAAAAAGTTCTTTTAAGGTTTAAAGTGAAGCTACAAAGTTTTTGTGTTTTTATTAAGGCTTCAACTGTTGTATCTGTAAATTTTTGCTCAAAGTTATTACTTTGACATTTTGTTGGCCATTAATTATTTTAATAACATCTGCATCATAGCAAATGGATTGAATGAAGCATCTCAGAAGAATAGAGGAATCATGCCACTGCGTATCTGTTGCTGATTCACTGTTCCAATGGGAAAATCCCATTTCTATTTTCATGTTTCTACCTACAAGCTGGAAAGAATGCATTTTCTTACTTGGATTGCAGTTTTGACATTTAAAGAAATGCTTGCTGTAATGAGGCCTCTCTGTTTTGTTCACTATGAGAACATTCCAAGTATTTACATAATTAGAGTATTAAGAGACTATATATCATAGTTTAGAAAACAATTTAAATTTTGCTTTCATTTTAAAAAAAAACCCAAACCAAAACACAAACCTAATCCTAAATGGCAGCTCCCACACTCAAATCTTCTAGGTTGTCCACAAAGCACAGATATAGGAATTTGTGGAATAAAGAAGCTTTATATAGGTAAGAAGGAAGAAAGGGAAGCGTTTTATTATTCTTGTTCAGAAAATGCTCTTTTTACCTCATTAATTTTATGAAATGCAAAAATGGTTTTGAGGGAAAAAGTATAAATTCTAGCAAAGATGATGTCTGTAACTGCTCTTAACAAACCAGCTGAGAACAGATAAAACTCTTGCCTTGTTTTGAGAAAGCTGCTTGTTCTAGCTGCACTGAATGTAGGAATTATAAAAACAAAATAGGATTCTTCTTAGACTCATTTGCATGTTAAATATTCTGGCTGTTTTTCCAGCTCCCAGTTATTTCAAAGCAGTCCGAGTGTCTGAGCTCTGGGAACAAACCAAATGACTTACAGTGCTCTTTGGTGTGCAGATGACCCCTTCCCTAAAAATCTGCTAGTCCAAAGTGGAGCAAGTTTGATGATTGTACTCTTTGAAATCATAATAGGCTGCTGGGAGAGAAACTTTCCTTCATATCAGCTTCAGAACTACGTGGCTGAAGAGAACATTTGAGAAAGGGTACAGATAGGCAAACAGCATTCATTTGCTCGGTGATGAAAGCTTTAACATGCCTGTTTTCTTTGTAGTCAAATTTGAAATCCCATCAATGCATAAAGCAAATCTGAAGTAGCCCAGCATGAAGTGCTTTAGACTAAATTCACTTGCTCTTTAAATCGGTCATTAACCCACACTATTTAATACATACAAAATGCCTGTATGAGGATGAATTTCAGATCAGAAAGTTGGTATTTTAATAGTTTAGTGCTTTATCCACTGGGGGAAAAAAAATCAACCAAACCACACACAAACCCCACAACACATCCGTAGGAGGATCAGGGATTTTATCAAGTGGTATCTGTGTCAAAATAAATGAGGCAGCTCATCAGAAGGAAAATGTCCCTAACAATCCATTACCATTAATGGGCTCGAAATCCTTGCTCAGAGAAGAGACCATAAACCTTCTAGACAGGTGGGCAGCATCACCTTTAATATTCAGTAACAATCGAAAGGCAAAGGTTGGGATAGGAATAGAATGAATTATTGTTATGTCTTTGTAAATCAGTGAGAGTGTCTCAGACCTTTTCCTGTGCTTTTTATGCAAGAATTAGTTTCCTTTCTCAGGAGAAAAAAAAAAATAGCAGAGCTAGGAAAGGTGAGGGTGAAGGGAAACCAGATCTGCAATGAAATGGCTTCCGTGCCAGGAAAAATTAAGCAGCACCAACTCAGTAAAACTGTGACAAAGTTGTGTAAAGTTGGGAATGGGGATTGTGAACAGGAGGCAATTGTTCACTGTTTCTCTGAAGATGGGAGCTGATGGATATCAAGTAAAGCTATCAGGCATCAGGTTTAAAATAAAGTGGTTTTCATAACACAAGTAATAACGTGTAGACCTCACTGCACCAGAAGGGTAGTAGAGGCCAAAAATAAAAAAGCATTTAAAAGAAGCAGAAGAAATTCAGAAAACAGTGTGTCAGGGGCTGGTCAGCATTGGCTGTGGATGCAGCCTCTTTCTTCATTGGGGTGCCCCAGAAGCTGGGGGCAGTACATCAGGCTTGATGTCTGCATCAGGCCACCATCAGAGATGGTATCATGGGCTTCAGAGAACACGGATCTGTGCCAGGATGTTTAGCATAATGGCCTGCACCACCTTGCCTCATTTCACCAATCACAGCTTATAGCCAGCCTGTAACTTCTTTTTCTTTCTCTCTCACACGCACTTTTTTCTCAAAGTAACTTTTTCTTTCTCCAACCTTAGTGAATACATTGGTCCTCTTTAAAAAGTCTTGATGTTATTTTTCCCTGGAAAGTTACCCTCGAGTCTTGCTGCTCTTCCTGGGAATGCCAGTGCGTGGCCTGTTTAATTGCAGCAGCGTCACGTGGGCATGCATTTTGCTGTATACCTGCTAGGCTCTCCTGTCTACATGAGGTCTGACTGACACACCCATCTTCCCTGGAAGCCCCATGGACATCCTGTTTGATGTCTTTTTTTCCCCCTTGTGTGAACTTGGCACCAAGCAGATTTAATGACGTGAAAGCCGTGTGTAGTCGGGGACAAGGAGCAGGGGTGGGGACCATGGAACACTGAAGCTCTTGAGGATCTTGTCTGTATGGTCAAAGAATGAGAGTGTATTTGGCAGGAAACCTTTCCTCTCCACTCTTACTCATGCATTCCTCAGTTCTGGAGGGGACAGGACAGAGATAGTTGTCCTTTCTCTCCACTATCTCTTTTCCAGGAGCAAGATGTACATGCTGGTAGGTCCATTCAGGCACCTCTCTGTTCCTGCTGTTGAACCCCAGCATTAGGAGAGTCAAGAAATATCAGTAGGTGCCTCAAATAGGCTCTTTCGAGCTCTTGAATTTCCTAAATAATAGAAAATTGTTCAAGTCCCTGGATGCAGCCTGGTTCTGCTTTTCTCCTGCTAACTAGCTTGATGAATAGGTCAGGCATAACCTTTAATAAAAACTTTTTTTTTTTTAGGTTATCCTACCTTTTCAGGTAGGTTGAGTTGAGGAATTTTCATACACCTAGACTTCTTCCACCCACATGGGTGTGGTGGGATTTAATTTCTGAGCCTCTCTAAGTGCCATGGGAGTTCAAAGCAAGTGCTGTTATTTCTATTTCCACGTCTAAATCACTTGTACCTAGTGTACACAGAACTGGAAGCAGGAGGGCTATTTTCTGGGTTGCTCATCTGGTTCTTCCCAGAATAGTGCTGAAGTTACTTTGTAGTGCATGCCTGGCCTGTAAGCCTAACAGGAGCAGGAGCAGTCTGCATTGGATAATAATATGTTCATTTAAACAATCCTAATAAAAAGCATCCATTCTTGGGATGTGCAAGTTGGAATGTACAATGAGTTGCAAGTACAGGGGAGCCTTGATAATTGAGGAATAATTTGCTTAATTATGTTGTTCTTAGTCAATGTGTCATTAAAACAATGAAAAAGTTAAATGATTGTTTAATGTCGGACTGTCAATATTTTCTAGTCTCCCAGATAATTAAATAGTCAGGATACATATACTTGGAAGAAAAAAAAGAAGTTACTTTAGAAGATACATGAATAGGAAGTGCATAAGAATTATAAAGATAAGGTTATTCAAAAAAACCCACAATCCAACACCTCCTTTCCCCCTGCAAGAGAAACCCAAACCAAGCCAAAACAAAGCAAGGAAAAATCCCCCAATCCAACCACAACTGCTTCATTTATTGCACTATAATAAATAGTTTGGCTTGGTGGAACATAGTACCTATTGTACCTCTGCCTTATTTTTATAGTTCTAAGGAATCTTCCATTGGAAAAGCCTCATTTTTCCTGTTGCTTTTCAGATATTTAGAGTGGGCAGTTCTCAACTGGTGACTAATTGCAAATGTTGAAGTGACCTTGGTCAAAAAAAGGAAGGAATACTTGCAAGTGCTAACTCAGGTTGCCATATAACTTATAATAACATATGAGCCTTTGTCTGCTCTTGATTAAAACAACAGATTTGTGTTTTTAGATGTACCAGTGCAGCTGTCAGCACCTTTGTTCTTTCTGTGACCAGAAAGCAGGTTAAGTCAGTCACTAAATAAGGCATAACCTCTGTTTCCAAGGCATACTTGAGAAGTTGATTGCAGTTTGAAAATTGAATGATTTATATATAAATTTAAATACTTTGAAACGAGTCTTAATATCCAGATGTTCTCATGTCCACTGATTTTGACAGATTCGAACTAAAGCCCGAGAATTCTCTCATCCTCTGTTAATAATTTTCTTTTTGTAGTATTGAAAGGCTACTTCTTCATTGCATAAGGAATGCTTTGCTCCTGTGTTTGCAGATGCTGTGAAGCCACCAGTCAGTTCTTTACAACCATCTGCTGAGTTACCCTTGCCCATCAACACTTCACCACCTTCCATGCAAGCAGAATCTTCCCTACCTTCTCCTTACCGGCTTATTAACATCCCCCCACTGGAGTCTTCCTCTGGTCAAGAAGATCCTCAAGACTACTTACTGCTAATAAACTGTCAAAGTAAAAAACCTGAACCCATGAGGTAAGTGACTTTTGTTTCTTAATGACATTTGTTTGTATTACAGGCCAACAGCGTTTGTGTTAAAAAAACTTTTTAATTGCCAAAACACTGAACATTCAGATGCACATAATCTACCCAAGGAAGCTGCCTGTAACTTCTGCTTTTTTACTTTCTGTGCTTGAACTTTTTGCAGTAATAATAAATTGTTTGATCAGTGCTAGACCTATATTGTATTCTTCAAAAGTGTGGGCAGCAATTGCTTGAATGAAGTATAGGAATAATGCAGTGATCCAAGCATCTCATTGTAGCTTGGAGTGGTGCATGGCACGGAGCAGAGAAGTACTCTTTCTTTAGCCACAATCTGGTGTGCTTAATCCAGTTTAGAACTAGAAAAACCTGGAGGAATTTAGCCTTTCTCCCTTCTGGTATTTGGTGCCCCAGTTTTGCAAGTTAAAGCTTTCATGGAAGGGATTTAGAAAATATGCTGATGTTTGTTATCACCTGCCAGGTGATAACACCTCACTGAGTGCAGCAATCTTCAAGTGGTGTTTGTTTATTATTGCTAGCATGGTTCAGACTCTCAAGACAGAGTAAAAGGCAATTATTTTGTGACAATTAAGAATGCAGGGGGCTGAAACCACACTATTTCCATGTCCTAAATTTTAACTTTTTCCAAATAACAGATATTTAAAGGCAAGCTCAAATAACCTCTATTTTCTGCTGAATAAAGACTACCCACACAGTCAGTTCTCCAGAGGAGTGTGCAATTGGAAATTTTAGGGAAAGCATTTAGAGCTTCTACTGAATTGAATGTGTATTTATTTCTCCAACTGCTATTTCTAACTTAAATAAATACACAGCACCTCCTGCATAGAAGACTATGATATTCATGGTAACTACCTGGGAAGTATTGCTATGTTTTGCCAGAATGGATCATGGTGGCCATTCCTGGAGTAGCTGCCCAGGGACATAGTGGAATCTGTGTTCTCTTTAAAAAAACTTCAAAAAACCCAAAACCAACCAACCAACAACAACAAAAAAACAAACAAAAGAACCACAAATGAACTTGACTGGACAAGCTCCTGAGGAGCCTCATCTGATTTTGAAGGGTTTTGCTTAGAGGTATTGGAAGAGCTGGAGCAGATAATCTCCAAAGGTACCTTCTAACCTTGAGTATTCTGTCGGAGAGCCCTATAAATCCCTCTGGCAAACTTCTCTTCTGCAGTAATTTCAAATAAAATTTGCTGGGGTATTTCCAGAAAAATAAACAAAATGTCATACTATTTTTGTGATTGCAGACAAGTACATGGAAGCTGAGGAAAGCTTCCTTTGAAAGTGTTTTCATGAGTATTTCACATATTTCCTTAGGGCCATACCTTTTAGTGGCAGTGCCTTCTTCAACAACACCTTGATGCTCTGCCAGTTTTCCCTCTGCCATGTGCTCTGTGCTCCCTTGGCATTTTTATCTTGCTCTGTTGTGCCTGAGGAGTTTCCTGCTCCATTTACTGATAATTACATGGTAGAAAAGTATCCACCCTTCACAGTCTTCCCTATAAAATCAGGGAATGAGCCTACCGTTCCCCCAGAGTATGGAATGTGCAGGTTACAGGCATCATGGTGTGCCCTAAAAACTCCTGCAGGAGAAGGGGAAACCCAGTGTCTGCTTTCTCACCGTTAAAGGTTTCAGTGTTTAGTGATGTTTAGAAGCTGATAGTGCCCAAGAAGTATGTCACTGTTCCTGCCAAAAGCTTTTAAGAGTTTGGTACTCGTTCCAGAACAACTTGGCAGAGGAATCTTGACTTTCATTTCAGCACCCCGGCCCATCAGAAATGTGTCTGAGTGCCTGTTTGCTTCTGTGAGGGATGGGCACAGAGCAGAAGTTTAACACCACCACATGAAGCGTGTTTTTAGGAATTATGAAGGTTGAGGTGTGTAATTCAGTTTCTGACCTGATTTCCAGAGTTATGTGATAAGTGCGTTAAGTAGAGGCTGAGGAGACCGTAAAAGGGGACACAAACTGTGGCAAGTAGAGAGTCCATGAATAGCTTACAAAATTTCTCAAGGAAGACACTGATGACACAGGGGAGAAGGTACTGGGGCAGGCAGAAGGTCCAATGGAGATAAAATGCCCAGTGAACTGAGAAAGAACTGATCAAAATCTTTGGGAGTGTAGGGATTGTTTAAATGAATGATGGTTTTGTAGGAACATTTGAAGACAGTGAAACATTGGCATTGTGATCACTTGGATATTATATGGGCTTAGTGTGTTGTATGTAACTAAATGCACTAAATAGCTGTGTCCTTTCATTAAAAAGGCTGTAATAATGAAAATTCAGAATAATAGTTGTGCTAGACTTTCAGTTCCACCTAAAAGGATTCTTTATGTTTTCTGTCTGGTACAGTAGGTATTCTGCTGGATTTGGGCCATAATCTAGAGCATATAGACCTTTTCCTATGGAATTGTAGCTTTGTGTATCTGTGTAGCATGTTACTAAGGTGATCAGTAAGAGTGCACTCTGTGCGCTACCCCAGTCCACATCCTTAAAAGTGAAGAAAAAAATTAAATGGCTTCATCATTTTCCTAATAATTTCCAGGCTTGGAGCAATATATCTGTGTATTTCATACAGACTTAGTGCAAAGTGCAAAGCTTAATAGCTGTAATTAAACAGGCAGGTACTGTTAATTAAATGGTTTTATTTTTATGATGTTTTCCCTTTAGACTTAAAAGTCGCCAATACGCAGAGGGAACGTTTTCTATTCTAATTCTGCATTTTACTTTGTAGGTAATCTGGGAACCACTGAATTTTATTTCAAGGCTTTGAGGTTCTTTTCTGGGCAAGATGGGGAACTGTGAAATATAGAGGAAGTATCCAAGCTGCCTCTTTGGAATTTTTTGAGAATTGTGGTGTTTCAGAACTACTAAATAGTTTTGAAATGCTTCATTACAATGTCATACAGTGCACCACATACTGTTGTGAGAACATCTTGGATGCAGCAGTTGCAGCTGTAACAATCACGCTGTATTTTGTCTAAAATAGTTTTATGCTCTGATCACTCTTGACTTGAGAAAGAGTATTGTTTGACTGTAACATTTAGTGAGATTTTAAGGTTTGCATTTGGATCCTAGAGAGGAAAATGCAGCCAAAGACTGTTTCCAACCCGCTTATTGTTCTGGCTCATTCGAGGGGTGTACTGAAATACTAAACGCTGTCTTCCTCGTCTCTCCTATGTTTATGAACCAGCCAAGGGTCACCCTTTCTCTCAGAAGAAGGGCAGGAATACCTGCTGTTAGAAGACTTTGAAAGTAAAAAGATTCCACTGCAGTGAGTGAACAGTAGCCATTCTTGGCACACGTGTGAGAAATTAATGACAGAGCCATTAACTTGCCTGAAAATATTGTTTGCTTGAGATGCGTCTTGCATGGTGTTCTGTGAGTTTTAACAGAAGAACCTTGTAACTTTGGCTTGAATTTTCTGGAAAGAAAGCTGGGTTATTATTTATTTATATATCTACCACATTTCTTTTCTGTGCTTGCTCATTTGTCCCAGTTTACTTGCACACAAGAGCAGTTTTGCTGCCATATCGTTCGTAATATTCTGTTTAATCAGTCATATTGATTCCTGCAGATGGGAAAAGAATCAGCTGGAAAGGATGAGTGGTCAAGCCAGCCCGAATACAGCATTTTCAAAAATGGAATGATTGCCCCTCAGACTAAAACACTTCTTAAACATTTTTTGCTGGGTCTCTGTCAACATGTAGTTTTTAGGACGTGGATGCTTTTCACTGGATTCCCCTTGCACCTCTTCTCTGTGCACCTTAATGCCTAGTCTTTGTAGTCCAGCAGGCTGTACAGTTTTCTTTTCTTGATATGTGGAAAGAGATGTCCAATCCTAATCCTGGGTAAGGGATAGCTTGGCCACTGAGCATAATTTGGAGATACGTGATATCCACTTGTGATAACACTGAATTCATGTCATAGCCATCCTCTGCTTATAAAGTGAGGAGTTATCATTGTGTTATATCCAGCCTTGCCATTGTTTTAAACTGAGATATAAAAAAATAATGCTTATCTTAATAACCAGTTGTTAATGGAATATTTAAGGCAATTGGGTTTTTTTTATTGAGCTATACTAAAGTGCTTGGTAAAAATTAAAATTCCCAAAGTAGAGAAGTCATTGGGCATCCTGTCAAAAAAAACCCCAAACAAACAAAAAAACCCCACAAGTAAAGTTTGTTCCTGTCAACTATGCACTGTGCATTTTCAGAATTGTACATGGTGTTCTTATCATGATCAGTGGTTAATGTTGATTTTTGAAAACTAGTTAAAATTCAGAGGCTGAATTCCTTGACTTTGTTTGGACTTAAACTGCTTTCTTTGTTTCAGACTGTCTTCAAACTTTTAGTCTTGCAAAATCAGGTTGGTTACAACCCATTCATATTTTGAAAACTGTTTCAGTAGACTGAGAAGTTGATTCCAAAAGATTACTTTAAAAATTGTGAAGTAAATCAGAAATGCCCTCTTATAATGAGAAATGTAAGTTGTTGCCATCAGCTAAGCAAATTACAGACCTGGCTGTCTCATGTGTCATGGTTTTTGAAAGTCTTCTAAGTGCTTGTGGTCAAGAAGCAGCACCATCCACTTTGACCCAGAAAAACTCCTATATTTAAAAAAGCATTTGTTGCTTGCATGTGATGGGTAATCCTTAAGCACTGGCATTGTACATGTGCTGTTGTTGCATTTTTGAGCTCTGGTTCTATAGTCCTGTGTGTTTTCGTAAGATAAATGTAGTGTTGATGTTTTATTTCTGTAGTTTTAGAAGTTTTTTTTCATTTTAAAGTATATCCTAGTAAACTGGAACTAATAATTTTGGTTCTGCAATTGATTGTCAGTGCCCAGCTTCTCTAGACTGCCTGCTTTATTTTTATGGCATAAAAAACAGAGATCCCAATCCTCGCCACACTTGCTTATGTGAAAAACATTTGACTTTTGCTGAGATTTCAGTCTGAATGAATATCATGGAACTGGAAGAGTACATCTAGAAAGTGAGGAACTCCTGAATCAATTCTTTGAGTAAAGAGGAAGGGCTGCAGCAGGGGCTGAGCTCAGTGTTACTGGTCACACTGTTGACAATTTATTACGCGGTCTGTAACCTCGTGTAATTCCTTCAGTCCTATGGGCTCTACTTTTTGCGAATGTTTTAAACCTCCAGTGGTTCATTCGTGAATTTTTGAAGCTCTGAGGCAAAGGGAGTAAACTGTTAAGAGACAAGAGATATATTTTTTTCGTGGTCAGCACTGGAGGGAATACAGGAACTTTTGCTTCCCTGGTTGTGCCAAGGATAAATAATGAGAAAATTCTCTTATTTTTGGGAGAGAGTCCACTAAACTAATGCTGATTAATGTTCTGAGTTACCTAGAAACCAGTTCTGGCCAGTAAGACAGAACTGAAAACTATGTTTAAAATAATAACCAGAGCATTTCTCTGATGAAAAAAGAAGCCAAAACCCCTAAGAATAAGCTAACAGGAGAAGGTCATATAATTGCAGTGAGAGAAATCTCATAAGCTGCTCATCCTGGTGGAAGATTGTATCTCTGCTATTAAACAGAACAAAAAGTTCTGTTGGTTGGGTGAATGACATTTTTCTTGACTGCAGATGTCCATTCCAAGCTAACCATGTTGGTTCCCTTGATAGCTGTCAGAGAGGCACTTTGTGAGGGATTCCTCGTGTTTACGTGGATATCTAAGCAGAACAGATTGTGTTTCACACAGTCTCCATTTCTCTGATGACTGCAGGGGAAATTTAATTGGATAGCTAAACTGGATTCCTTTTTCCTCAGGTTGCCAGAACCCTGGGAGATAAATGCAGCTGTCCCTTGAGAAAGAAAGTTTTGTGCAAACTTACTGATGAATGAAATTTGTATAATAAATATTGGTTGTGATCCCTCTGAGGTAGCGAGCCTCTTAAATAAGGGGGAAAATGCTTCTTGTGGTAGTTCATGTATTTTATTCCTCAAAAGTTTCGGAACTCTGTGGTCCAGTTGCTTAATCAAGCTTAATAAGGGTAGCAGGTGTTCACTGAAACATATGCATGATGAAATATTTACATATGTATGTATAAATTAACACAATGTATGGTATTGTGCTAATGAAAATAGGAAATTTCATGGTATGATTGGTCAAAAAGTGTATGGACTGCCTTAACTCCACCAGTGTTTTACCACTATCTTGACTTTCATTTAAGCAAGGAGTCCAATACAGAATCAAGACCAGTAATAACAGAATTTCTCTGCTTGGAGCACAGTAACTGGGGAGGTTTACAAAGAAAATAAAATCATTGCAACGTGGTTACTTTCCACGTAAGTTTACTGCTAGTAAACTTAGTAAACATTAGTACTGGTTAGTACCACTACTAGTGAGTGCTATTCTCATAAAAGAATTTCCTAAGAAATCAAAGGTAAACAGCTGTGCAGCTTTATCTAACACCACTGCCTTAATTTGCATTCAAGACAAAAGCACTCTGTTGCACATGCAACCTATGGATTTTTTTTTCCCCTCAAAGAGCATACTGTTTTCCTCCTATTTATGTTCTTATCTCCTACTTCTCTTTCCTTTACATATTTCAAATGAGTTTTATGTGGTCAGTACAACATCAGGCACACATTTAAGAGCATTACAAGCAGTCATTTTTTTTCCCTCTTAACATCTTTTTCATACTGATTAGAACTAGCAAGTACTGTAAACCCAAGAATGGAGTGTCTTATTTTTACCTTTAACTATGCCATTAAAGTGCTGCTAGTTGCCAGCATGGGTTAAAAAAAATAACAATAAAAAAAAATCCCCCCAGCACCCAAACCAAATAAAAAAATCCCCCAGCTGCCAAAAAAAACTGCTCCAAATTGGCATCATGGAAATCACTTGCTTTTTGAAATATCAACCTGTTGTGGAGCTGTTTGTAAAGCTCCACAGTTGTATTATGTGTTTCACATGCATGGATTTGTACATATGTAGTCACTTAGGATCCTTAAGCACTACTATTTGTTTGATAATTGAGTTCCTGCATCTCATTTTTAAAAAATAGAAACTTGGAAGACACTGACAGACTTTTTAGTTGTTTACATTCCAAACATTGCGTCTATCGCTTGTAATGTTTTTTTTTCTTTGTGTTGTTCACCAACATTTTAATCTTACAATCTCACATGTAGATCTCACGCTGACTCGGCAAAATCCAGCTCTTCTGAAACAGACTGCAATGATAACTTGCCCTCCCACAAAAACCCCGCTCCCTCAGCGAGCAAGCACGCTGTGAACGGCTTCTTTCCGCAGCAAGGGGTCTATGACTCCCCTCCTTCTCGGACCGGACTGACGCTGGCAGACTGCAGCCTCTATAACCTGCCCAGGAGTTACTCCCAGGATGTTTTACCCAAGGCAGCGTCTCCGTCTGGGACTGACGCGGAAGGAGAGCAACACGTTTTCAACGCGCCGTCGGCAACGTCTTCGTTGGACGCGCAGATGAGACACGTCTCCATTAGCTACGACATTCCCCCCACACCTGGAGGTACTTATCAGATTCCACGAACTTTTCCAGAGGGAACATTGTCTCAGACTTCAAAACTGGAGACTATTCCAGATATTCCTCCGCCTCGGCCACCAAAACCTCACCACGCTGCAGATCGGTCTCCTGTGGAAACATGTAGCATTAGTCGCACTGCCTCCGACACGGACAGTAGTTACTGCATCCCCACGGCAGGAGTGCCGCCCTCCCGCAGTAATACCATTTCAACTGTAGATTTGAATGTCTTTCGGAAAGGTCAGTACTCCGCAGAGTTTTTGTGTTAAACGGTGTGCTCTTGTGAGGGATGGTGGGATATCAATGATGTGCGCGGCGTTTCTAGCCCTTAGAAACAAGTGTGTAGCCCTTCACAAGGCGGTCTGTGGTCAAAGTACATAAGAAAGAGGTAAAAGAGATTATTAAAGGGAGCATCAGTAAGGGATGGACATTGCACTGTGGCATTTGGTCTTGGCTAAAAATATTTGAAGACCCAGACATATTTGTGGTGTTATTCATCTTTAGAAAACACCAGTGAAGAACTAATCTTTTTTTTTCTGATACCTAATAAGCTCATATAACTGAATTCAATACTGCCATTATCAGTCTTTCAGAACGACCAAAGTTAGTAAATTGTGGTCCAATCTGCAGAAGCTGAAAGAGTTTCATGAAGGTCAGTGGGATTTGGTGTATACCCATAGCTTTGAGATCAACCCCGATTTGGTGATCATTGCCACTGACCTTTATTTCATTACTTGTGATTGATATGCTTAGTGCAGTTTTTAAGTAAAATTGAAGTTATTCCTTGTGGCTACCTAAATGTTGGTACTCTAGATGTGCTGCCTTGTATATTGTCTCGTTAACCTCTTTTGTGCTGACTTTCATAATTTTTTAGGTTCCTGAAGCAGGTGGGTATTAGAGTGTTATTTTTAGAGTGAAATTCTAAGCTGGTTACGGTGAATGCTAGTGTTAGAGGTCTTTTTAAAGGAGAATTGTTTGAGTTGTGCTAGATATGGGATAAGAGGCTGAAATGAGGGGATGGGAACAGGGCTTTTAGAGGAGGCAGTATACAGAATGGATGTGACATACAGGTGCTCAAATAGTATTGTCCTGTTTGACATTCATTTTGTAGGCTGAGTGTAACAACATTGGTGGTTGATAGCGTTTTAAAATTACAAAGTAACACCCCAAAAGATCCTTGTTTGCTCCGCTTACCTTCTCTCATTTTCCTAAGTTTGTAGGTGAATATTCCTACACTAAAGCTGAGATTCTCTGTCTCAGGAAAAGTAGCCTTTCTGAAAATACTGTTTTAATTTGGTGCTCAATAGCAGAGGTGTTTATTTTTCCTCTGAGATGGAAATCTCAAAAAAAACTTCGGAGGTTTTTTACAGGGCAAGGTGGGGCTAAAACCCAGAGTTTTCCCAGTTTCTGTATTGGCATCAGGAGGAGGGGCATGCCTGCTGCAGGATAAGGCAGTCTGCCACCTGCATGGATGAGCAGCACCTGGGAGCCAGGTGTCCCACAAACACCCCTCTCCACCAAAGAACCAGCCACGAAGATCGAGACCTTCTTAGTGGGGACTGCTAGGAGCCACAACTCTGAAAATGGAGAGATCTCTGCTTCTGCAGCAGTTTGTTCCAGCTGAAAGCCCCTGGAGACCACACTGGGGAGCTGAGAGAAGGGATTCACCTGTTCCTGCAACAGATGGAATCCTGTTGAATCAGCACTTTCCAAGGGAAGGGTATCAGTAAGGAAACCTTTCTCCAGACCCTGAACTACATCTGCCATTTGTTTATTTTAGAATAACTTTTTCATGAGGGCCCAAATTCCGACTCTTACACTAAGTTCATACAGGTGCTCGTTTGAAAGAAAGACTTGGCTGCTTCTTTAAAAGCAAAAATTCCTTTTTCTTTTCTCACTGTGGAAAACCGCTGCCATCAGAGCTTCGCGTTGTGACTGATGGGTGCTAAGGTTGTTTGTGAACACAGTCCTCCCAAGTACAGATAAAATCTATGGGCCACAGCTTCAGGAGGCGTGTTTGTATGGTCTCAGAAGCAGACAGTAAATAACAACAGACTCTGGATGCCTGGTGCCAAGTGACAGGAACAAGGATGATAAATAGCCACTTTCTCTTCTCGTTTCTTTAGAAATTAGTTCTCAAGACTGTTATGATATTCCACGAACGTTTCCGAATGACAGATCTAATTCATTGGAGGGCTTCCATAACCACTTTGTAAGTATGACTTGATCTGATGTGAGGCGACAGTGACAGTGCTTGAATGCTCTTGGTTCCTGTGTAAAAAAGCAAGTTGTACGGTGTTTGTGATTTTTCAGTTTCAGTATTAATCTGAGTAGATTAGGTTAAAAAACTCATGTGATTCACAGCTGATTGCATAACTTATTTTGTTAAAGGAAATATATGTTAATTCTAGAAAAACAGAAGCATGTTGACAGTGGGAAGTGTTTCAAGTGAAGAACTAGATGAAAATTATGTCCCAATGAATCCCAACTCTCCTCCACGACAGCATTCCAGCAGCTTCACTGAACCCATCCAGGAAACAAACTATGTACCAATGATACCAGGCACGTTTGATTTTCCATTATTTGGAAAGCAAGTCCCTCCTCCTGCTCACATGGGTTTCAGGTCCAGTCCAAAGACCCCTCCCAGACGGTCGGTACCTGCTGCAGAATGTGAGCCACCGCCAGTGGATCGGAACCTCAAACCAGACAGAAAAGGTGAGGAAAATGTCCACTAGAAGCTAATTCTTCTCATCTAAGAAAATAACATAGCTCTCCCAGCTTCCAGTTAGTGGAAAATTACCATATTCTTAGAAATTATTTTAAAAATTTTTATCCTATGAGATAATTGTAACACAAAGGGATCGTAGGATTATTTTTAACAATATTAAAGCATCACAAAAACAGTGCCAAATACAAGCATAGGCTTATATTATAGCCCTGCAGTTACTAAAGAAAAAATGACACAGAATTCTGACATTTAGAGGTGTGAGTTTTAGTCCTCATACATAGGAGACACTCGTGATGCAGAGAGAGCACACAAGGCATTGGATAAAATACAGATTTATAGCCATAACAATGCTTGGTACAGGAGCAGTACACATTTTCACTTTAGAAGGCCCTTCCAAATCTATCCTAAAAGATTAATCTTGTAAATCTGGTACACACTGTGTTTACTTTTCCTTTAAATAAGGATTATTTGAGTGACTGGTGTTCTTAAGGAACAAAGAAGATAGGATTTCAATGTGTCTATAAGAGATACTTGTATAGAGAATCACTAATAAATAGCTTGGATTTTCCAGTTCAGCTGAAATTTTTTATCAGCCATCTTGTCAGAAATACAGGCAAATGCTTAAGGAACTTGTTTCCCCCACTATGCAGTTTTTCAGACAAGATAACTAACTTTCTTGTAGAAGTGGCAACTACAGAACATTAGGTCAAGTCTCTGTGCTATTTTGCGTATGAGTAAGTCCTATTTTTAATCTTATGCACTTGAAAAAATTAGTATTTACATTGAGAATGCCTGACTTCATTGTAGGAAAGCTTGATGGCAAATATTCAGATGGTCTAAAATATTCACTAACTAAACCTTTAAATTAGTATTTTTCCCACTGGGTGAAAACAGCCTGTAATTAAGGGAAGTAGATAGTATCATGATCATATAGATGAGCTCAGTGTGAAATGGAATGTCTTATTCTGCCTGTCCATGTTCAGAAAGCAAGGCATGGCCTTTTTCAAGACCTTGGCTCTATGCATGTGTCTAATTGTTTCTGTTTTACCAGACAGTAGTTTTGCTTAGTTCTTAAGAAATACTGGACAGTAACAGATTGATGAAAGCTGATAATGGAAAATATTCTCAAAATAAGCACTGAACTGATTTAAAATATTTTCCCTGACTGGCCAGTTTGTGTATTTTACTGATAAAATGTTTGACCTTCAAAAGCAGTAAACTTCTGTGTTTAAAAGCATCTCACTTTTGCTGTTGGCAGTGCAAAGCTGCCACACAGATGTCTGCTGGTGCAACATCATTGCTCTTGCATCTCTTTTTGAAACTGAATTAGTGGTTCACATTCTGAAAGTGGCATGTGAGGCTCCTGCTTTGCTCCCATCCTCAAATGCTTTACAGCTAGAAAGAACTAGCTAACATTAGGGAAAAGATTTTTAGATGTGCTAACATACCTCTGAATAAGTGTAGAGTGACTGGCTGAAATTTTTGCCTGTAGACTTTTAGAAGCTGTTACCACTGTAAAATAATGGGATTATTTAATGTCACTTACAAGATAAAGTAATTTTAAAGTAAAACTGTCCCTGAAAGTAAATATTGTATAGTAAATGCTTAGGGGCTGCAAAAAATGTCGTGAAGATCTTGAGCTACCAAGACTGGTAATGATTCTGATTTATCACTGAGGGTTTTATCTTAGTAACACATATACACACAGCCTCACTCAAATTTTATCAAGTGCATTACTGTGAGTTTTCCATTGTTGTGAAGAGCAGATATGATGACACATCAGAATGGTAATATATTCCCATTTTAGTAGCTGAGTTCTCCACGCAAATAACTCCTTCCAGATATACCTTTGGGAAAATAAAACTGCGGTTTCTTTTGAATTAAAGTAGGATAAAACTCTTGTTTAAGTGGACCTTTACCTAATTAAAACAAGTGTTTGCTTTATGTTCTTCTGTGTTGCTTTTTCAGCTTTCAAGTTCTTGTAGCAGCTTCTACTATCAGGTTGTTTCTGCTTATGTAAATGTACTGCAACGCTCTTCTGCTACAAATGAGTGCATAGAAAGTATTGAGTTGGCCAGTAGGTTCAATAAATCTTTGGCAGACACAGAAAGGGAGGAAATGGAACATAAAATATTTACCTTCTGGGTATTGCTCCATTAAATGTTGGGGTTTTTTAATATGCCATTGGTTCAAGAATTTCTGTTGAAGACCACTGGTGCTTCTCTAAGAGGTGGTGTTACCACAGAGATCGGGTGTGTTGGGGTAAGGTATTGTGAGGGCACATCTCCTGTTCTCTTGGAAGAAGGTGCTGTATCTTTTTTTATTGGTTACAGATTGCTGCAAAAATAGTGTTTGCACTGCCTCCAAGTAACAATTGCTCTTTAGTAGCTACGAGAAATATCACCATTGCCTTTCAGATGAGCATTAGCTTTAGCTCAGTCATGTTGGTGTGGGCCAGGGAAGTTTGTTCAGTGCGAAAAATGCATTTGACAAAGAAATAGTGCGGTGAAACTAGCAGATAAAGAAAGAATATACTGCTTTTTGTTGTCAGATGTATGTGTTTAGCATCTCCTCTGGTTTCCTTTGGTTTAAGGGCTTACAGCTTACAGGCAGTATAGTTTGACAAGAGTAGAAAGTGGAGGGCTCGGTGATGGCAGGGCCCCTTCTCTGGCATATAGCCTGCTCTCCCCTTTGCTGTTCTGTTCTGTACACCTGACATGAAACAGATACTCACTTTCTTCTGGTTCTGCTGTCTGAAGAATAATGTGTCAGGCAGCAAGGACCTGGCAGTCTGTCCATCAGCAGTAGTGACTGTAGTGTGTAATGTCTTCACAGCTCTCATACAGCAGCTGACGTTCAGGGTAATTTATCTAATCATTAATATTCTCCAAATTTCTACAGTTATGTAGAAGTAGTGACTGACAGGGGACTGATTTATGAAAAATCATTAACATAGGTAAACTAAATGTAGGTAATAGGTCTAAAATTTACTATAGTACGTGCACATTCTTTTGAGGAGGGTACTTGTGCAGCCCAGCCCTGAGAGGCATAGGCCCTTTGGTCTTCCCAGCTGGAGGAGTAGCCAGGGCCAGGAGCCATGGTGAGCTATGACATACCCTGTGTCTTTTCCCACTGGATTTTAAAGCTTTGCTTTAGAAAATGGATTAAAAATAATAACAAAAAAAAACATAGAGAGAGTGCCTTGAGATTATGCTACAGGTTCACATAGTTTCATTTTCTAGCTCACAGCTGCTTCTGTAAATACAGGGAGCTTCCAGTACTTTCTGAAAAATAAAACTGCAGTTTTGAACCATGTTCAAAACGTGGGGTTGGCTCCCTGCCTCAATAACTTGAATCAGAGCACTTTACTTTTCCTTTAGAGAAGCATACCAAAAGGTAAGTGATGTACGGCTCGGAACAAAATGGAGAGCGTTTGGCAGGTGCTTTTCTGCATTCACCTGTAATTGAATGATAAAAAAAAAAATCTTTTTTAATTTAATTTTTTTTTCAGGGTGCTATTTCTTTAGTTACATAGAACCATTGTTTGTATTGATTTTTGTATTTCTGCTTTTTGGCCGCTTTAGCTTGCCACAGTTGCATGTAGTCGTGATGCTAATTTGGAAGCGTGTTTGCTAGCAAAAGGCTTCGAGCAGAAGAAATATTGCATCCATCCATGCAGTCGAATCTTACTCACTGAATTGCTCAAAGACTGTGAAGGGTTATGCCACAGAGCAGTTGTGACATTTGTTGTGACAGTGACGTGTTCCTTCCTCAAAACAATATTTATCCAAGAAGGAGCAGTGGAATTAAAGGTGCCCAAACACGGTGGGCAGCCAAGGCAACAAAGAACACCAGATTCTCTTCTGTTCAACCTATTTTAAGGAAAAGGTGCCTGGTCAAAAATGAAAGGAAAAAGGTGTGAATTCTTTTTTATAGGTCAGCAGGAAGCCTTTGAGTGACACAGAATTTGAGATGGGAGTGTCTGTCAGCCTCTGGGCATGCTAATGACCCCGTCCTGCCCAAGGGTTTATTTCCAGGACTTGGGGGATGGAGTATGTCATCTTAAACCAAGACTTTAAGACCAAACATCTACAAAATCAGATTTTTTTAAAAACTATAACTGTTTAGGAGCCCTACAGAAGGAGTCCTTATAGCTATGTGGCATCATCTCATCCATAAAGTTGAAATCTGTGCTTGTCATCTTGACTGATAAAATACAGTTTTTCAATATCTGAATCAAACTGTTAAGTCAGCGATGGAATTGGGGATGGTGGAATTTACTTCTTCAGAGTCTCAGTTTGATGCCCAGCTTACATTAACTTGGTAAATTCTTTTTTCTGAGACCACTTCTACCAAAGTGCGTTTTTTAAGGTTCTGCAAAGAAATGTATGAACTATGGGCATATGGCTGAATTAGCAATTCATAACCATGATGGAATGAAAGTTAAAAATTTAATCTCATTCGAGTATAATATTGGAATGTAATGCATGAATGAATATAAATGTAATTTTAGTCATGTTTTTGATCCATAGCACTTAAAAACACCTTATAAGAGAGTTCCATTTAGCACAGGTCCTAGTTCAGAGTCACGGGGAGCTGAGTTAGAATGATACCCTCAGGATCAGATTGCTGACAGAGGCAATACAAAATTTGGGAATCCCAAAACATGGGGTTTGGGTAGGATTGCAGAGATTTTTTTGCTGAAATAACCAATAACCAGTGTAGTGCATTTTCACTTTTTTTTTTTTTTTTAAAGGCTTATATTTCAACAAAAATTTAATCTGAGATGCTTCCTACAACTTAAGTCCATATGATTGCCTTTAAAAGAGGCTGCTGCTTGGCCCAGGCAATTTTCAGCCCAGCATATGGTAAACTTGGATTTAGACTTGGATTTAGTGGGTGATGCACACATTTCTTTTCATGCCAAGAAAATGCCCAGTTGCAGCTTGAAAACAAGAAAACAAACAAACAAAACAAACCAAGGGAG